CCTGAAGAGTGTTTGTTATTTAAAAATCTGCTGATGATTAGTATTTTTAATTACATTTTGTTTTGCTCTCACGAAAATATTGTTTTTTTCATAAACAGGATAGAGTTGGGAATTTATGTGTACCTACTTTTTGCCCATTTTATTTGCTTTGAACAAATGAGTCCAACATTTCTCTTTTCGTCTTCTCTTTCCTATCCCATCTAAATCAAAACTGATCAAATACCTTGAAAATGTAAATTAAATCACCATCCATCAAAGCTACTATAGTGTAGAAATCTTAAGTTTTTTCTTTGGACATCAACTGATTTCCTACTTTACATATGATTTTTGAATCAATCAAAGTTTTCATTTCGGTCTGCTGGTTAGTTTTTTTTTTTTTCAAAAGGGAAAAAATTGGGAGGTTTGAATAATTTGGAGTATATGAAATTCATTATTTTTGGGTTAGTTATTTAATAACAAATTAATATGTGATTGTGATGTCTTTTTTTCTTGCTTTCAATTAGTGGGTCCTTTGCTTCCTACAATCATCTCCACTTCTTCTTTTTCTGTGCTTATATCCTTTTGTAAGATCTTCAAGAAGAAAGATTTAAGTTGTTGTTCATACAAAACAAAGTTTTAAAGTTGTTGACGTGGAAAAAGTATTGCCATAATTTTTCAGCCTCGAAGAAAGTTCCCTTCTTCTTCAAACCCTAATTTTTGACAAAAACTCTCTACTCCTTTTTGCTACTAGGGTTTGCTTTCAGTTTCCAGTGTAAGAAAAGATGTTCGAGCCAAATATGTTGCTTGCGGCTATGAACAACGCAGATAGCAATAATCACAACTACAACCAAGAAGACAACAACAATGAAGGATTTCTTCGGGACGATGAATTCGACAGTCCCAATACTAAATCGGGAAGTGAGAATCAAGAAGGAGGATCAGGAAACGATCAAGATCCTCTTCATCCTAACAAGAAGAAACGATATCATCGACACACCCAACTTCAGATCCAGGAGATGGAAGCGTATGTATATAATTTTACTCACTTCAATTTTCTTGATTTTTTGACAATTCTTTTGTTTTGGTTGTTCAATAGATTCTTCAAAGAGTGTCCTCACCCAGATGACAAGCAAAGGAAACAACTAAGCCGTGAATTGGGTTTGGAACCTCTTCAGGTCAAATTCTGGTTCCAAAACAAGCGCACCCAAATGAAGGTATAATTTATATTATGAACCATATACATTAATGAATGGAACTATATTAGAGAAAATATATATACTTGTTAAATTGTTATTCCATTCATATTAAATCTTTGTATATACACATTGAAGGGCTTATCTTTAAACGTAGACCTATATATGCATCTTATCTCAATCACACTCGAGACAAGTTTTTGGGTGACTGGTGTTTTCATTCTGAATGAATTTATTGACTTTGGTATAATTCTGGCAGTTTTTTTGATCTAGTCAATATAATTGACTTAAATTCTTACTATAATTTTTTTTTTCCAATTGAAAAGTGTTCTTTAATTTGGCAGAACTATAGTTTTGGCGGATCAAGCCATATAAAATTGTTTGGTTGAAACACAATTCCCTATTTATTAGCTAAGCTAGAGCCATATATAAACTGTCGATAGAAACGTTTTGGACACATATGCTTACGTTATGCAAATAAGGTGAAACACATAACGTGTACACAAGTGTTATCTATGAAACTTATAATTTTCCTCGTTTTTAGTAAAATCATATGTTGCTTCGTTTTACCCAAATTAGCAATAACTCACTTGTATAAAACTATAGAGATAACGGAAATATGAGTTTTATTTGCGCAGAATCATCACGAGAGGCACGAGAACTCGCATCTTCGGGCGGAGAACGAAAAGCTTCGAAATGACAACTTAAGATATCGAGAGGCTCTTGCAAATGCTTCGTGTCCTAACTGTGGTGGTCCAACGGCTATCGGAGAAATGTCCTTCGACGAACACCAACTCCGTCTCGAAAATGCTCGATTAAGGGAAGAGGTATGAGAATCAAACTAAAGAACATTTAAAATCTTATTTAATTAACATGTTTTGATTTTTGATATTTTACACTTAAATTAGAAAAAAGTTTACCACTAATATTTTTTTTTTGGTAAGAAAAAGTATACCACTAATATTATATCGCTTTCTTAATATCATTTCACTCTATTTAATAATCATAGAATCAAAAACTTGATATTAGAGACTCACAATTTTTTTTTGCAATGAAGAATAGAAAAAACGCAATTATTTATAATTTATGATTATCAATTTTAGATAACAACAACATAAGTCACAACGTTTGTTCTTCTTGTGACCCAACTTTGAAAACCATATGAATCAATACTCTCTCTTGTTTGTCTGTCTAGATCGACCGTATATCCGCGATTGCAGCCAAATATGTAGGCAAGCCAGTTTCAAACTATCCACTTATGTCTCCTCCTCCTCTTCCTCCACGTCCTCTAGAACTTGCCATGGGAAATCTTGGTGGAGAAGCTTATGGAAACAATCCAACCGATCTCCTTAAGTCCATCACTGCACCTACAGAATCTGATAAACCGGTCATCATCGACTTAGCCGTGGCTGCAGTGGAAGAGCTCGTGAGGATGGTTCAAGTGGACGAGCCTCTGTGGAAGAGTTTGGTTTTAGATGAAGAAGAGTATGCACGGACGTTTCCTAGAGGGATCGGACCTAGACCGGCTGGATATAGATCCGAAGCTTCGCGAGAAAGCGCGGTTGTAATCATGAATCATGTTAACATCGTTGAGATTCTCATGGATGTGGTAATTCACATTTTCATTTTTTATATATTCAAAAGCAATCTTCTCTGTTTAGTTTGACAACATTGATATGATGTTGCAGAATCAATGGTCGACGATTTTCGCCGGGATGGTTTCTAGAGCGATAACATTAGCGGTTTTATCGACAGGAGTTGCAGGAAACTATAATGGAGCTCTTCAAGTGGTAATTTTTTTGCTTTCATTCTGTAAAAATCTAATTCCAAACTAATACCTTAGAACTGAAATAACCACTCTGTTTTGCAGATGACTGCAGAGTTTCAAGTTCCATCTCCATTAGTCCCGACCCGTGAAACCTATTTCGCACGTTACTGTAAACAACAAGGAGATGGTTCGTGGGCGGTTGTCGATATTTCTTTGGATAGTCTCCAGCCAAATCCCCCAGCTAGATGCAGGCGGCGAGCTTCAGGATGTTTGATTCAAGAAATGCCAAATGGATATTCTAAGGTATATAATAAAAACATTAGGTTATACATGCAACATAGACAAAATTCAAAATGTTTACCTAAGCAGAGAGAATTAATGTAACAGGTGACTTGGGTGGAGCATGTGGAAGTTGATGACAGAGGGGTTCATAACTTATACAAACACATGGTTAGTACTGGTCATGCCTTTGGTGCTAAACGCTGGGTAGCGATTCTTGACCGCCAATGCGAGCGGTTAGCTAGTGTCATGGCTACAAACATTTCGTCTGGAGAAGTTGGCGGTATAACATACTGTTTGTTTCATAATCACTTTCTCAGATTCAGAATCTGAGTCAGAATCACAGTTCTATATTGATGAATATGCAGTTATAACTAACCAAGAAGGGAGGAGGAGTATGCTGAAATTGGCGGAGCGGATGGTTATAAGCTTCTGTGCAGGAGTGAGTGCTTCAACCGCTCATACGTGGACTACACTGTCCGGTACAGGAGCTGAAGATGTTAGAGTGATGACTAGGAAGAGTGTGGATGATCCAGGAAGGCCTCCGGGTATTGTTCTCAGTGCAGCCACTTCCTTTTGGATCCCTGTTCCTCCAAAGCGAGTCTTTGACTTCCTCAGAGATGAGAATTCAAGAAATGAGGTAACTCTTTCAGTTAATACGCTCTCTCGCTCTGTTTTGGACAGAGTTTTGATGTTTTTGTGAGTTTTTTCAGTGGGATATTCTGTCTAATGGAGGAGTTGTGCAAGAAATGGCACATATTGCTAACGGGAGGGATACCGGGAACTGTGTTTCTCTTCTTCGGGTAAATGTGAGTTAAACCGGGTTTTGAACTCTTGTTATAATCATCTGATCCTAGCTAATACTTTTCAATCCTTATGTCACAGAGTGCAAATTCAAGCCAGAGCAATATGCTGATTCTACAAGAGAGCTGCACTGACCCTACAGCTTCCTTTGTGATCTATGCTCCAGTCGATATTGTAGCGATGAATATAGTGCTTAATGGAGGTGATCCGGACTATGTGGCTCTGCTTCCGTCAGGTTTTGCTATTCTTCCTGATGGTAATGCCAATAGTGGAGCCCCTGGTGGAGATGGAGGGTCACTCTTGACCGTTGCTTTTCAGATTCTGGTTGACTCAGTTCCTACGGCTAAGCTGTCTCTTGGCTCTGTTGCAACTGTCAACAATCTAATAGCTTGCACTGTTGAGAGAATCAAAGCTTCCATGTCTTGTGAGACTGCTTGAAAACCACCCATTAGGTACTACTTTCACTAAACATATTCTTCTCACTTTTAGGCCATTATGTAATCATACTTTTCTTCTTCTTTCTGCAGGAAATAACAAAACGGTGAAAAAGAGAGATTTCAGTTTGAAAAAGCGGAGGAGTCAAGATCGAACCTCAAAAGATATACCATTGAGTGTTTGTAGTGTTAAGTTTTGTTCTGCTTATTTGATGAAACTAAGCAGTGAAAAACTTTTTACTTGAAAGTGAATATGCAGATGGTTTTACGAGGTTCGGGAATTGACTTCCCCTGCCACATACTGAATTTTTCCAAAAAAAGAAAAAAAGAAACTAGGTTAGAAAGAATGTTTTCGGATTTCTTTTTGTGTTACAGTTACTGTTTTTCTTTCCTTCTTGTGGTTAGATGGAACCTCATCAGGAATTTGGAGTTTGTCTTTCTTCTATTTTGTATAAATATCTTATACAAGTATTGGTTTTTCACCTTTCTTTGTAAGCTTATGTGAGATTGTTTATGGAAAGCTCACACTTTCTTTAATGAGTGTCTCAAAAGGGTCATTGCATTTAGCCTTTTGATTATGTTTAGGTTAAGTTCAACCAAGGAAAACATATCATTGTTGCTGAGTTAACTTAAACAAAATCTCTCAAGGCATAATGTTTTCACATGGATCATCAAATACCATGTGATAAAAAAAAGTTATGAAATGAGAAATCACCCTGGTTTATCCTCAAGCAAGCTTTCTCCTAGCCAAAACAGTGGATCTCTTGGTCGAACAAAAAACCAGACCACGAAGCATTGCCAGAATCGCAAGACCCACGAAAGGCAAATACGCCAATAACAATTTGTTAGTTACCTTCCCTGAACCTATCATGTCTCCAAGTATAGCAGCCTAGAAACACACAAAAAACAAACTGAGAAATAAACATACAAACAAAGCACAAATATTCGAGCAGAAACCATAACTCCATAAGAATGCAAGATTACACTTCAGAACCTAAGCAGTACAATCTAGCCTTCTCAGTGCAGGGAAAAGATAATGTGATTCCACCCATAAAAGACATCAGTCACACAGAGAGTAGATTTTGAAAAGAATTTCAGAAGCTTGAATGAAATACAAAGTAGAGCGAGGAATATATCAGTATATAACAGTAAGATAATTTACTCTATCATTCAGAGAAGCAGAGCAATCACATATACTAAGATATAGAACTCCAGAAGAATTTTCGTTTCTAAATCAAGAAAGTTGTGATATTTACGGATCAAATACATAAAACAAATATCCATAGACAGAGCCAATAAAATGTAGAGAAAGAAAATGTACCATGGAAGTGAGGAAAGAAGCTCCATACAACAAAGAAGTGGTACCAAACCACGACTTGCTGGTAAGAATGGCGTAGATGTTAACAATGGAGAGAGGCAACAGGAATATGATCTCATGCCAGACGAGTCCGACGAAGAATAGCGGCTTCTCTGTGAAGAGGTAATCGTTGAACTCAGAGCTGTACCAGTCTTTCAGATCGGTGAGGAGTTTCGGGTAGATTTCAGGAAAAAGAATTTGGCCGTTGAGAAGCGGTACATTGATAGCCATCAGTGCGAAGAAGAAAAACAGAGAGATGTTGATCAGCTTCCCTAAAGCTCCCATCTTTTCTTGCTTCTCTCCCAAATCTGAGTTGCAAAAACAATCTTTCGAGTCTTTGACCACAAAAACGAAACAAGAAGAAGAAGAAGAAGAAGAAGAAGAAGAGTTTATTGAGATTCACGCGCGGGTTATTTAATTATTGGTTTTACTTAACCGAACCAAGAAACCGGAGTTATCTCCTTCTTTCTGATTTTTAAACTAATTGCTGGTTTAATTAAACCGAACCAATTCAAACAAGACTCAAAGAGGACCAAAATCTACCAGGTTAAGACCCTAGTCCAGTGATGTGGAAGAGCAGAGGCAGTAATGTCAAGGATGAATTTGATTTCAACCAAGGAAAAATTTCATTGTTGTCGAGCAAACAAACAGGAGTTCCATAGAAATCAGAAAGCAATAACGTTTTCACATGGAAAAACCAATACCTCTCTCTAGCTAGACTTCTTCATAAGCCGGCACATAAAGAAAAAGTACAAGTAGGCATTCCAGAGTGAGAAAACCAACTGTATCTCAGGCCAGCTTTCTTCTAGGCATGATGGTGGATCTCTTGCCAACAGAACCAGTGTTTTTGGTGGATCGACAAACTAAACCGCGAAGAACAGCCAGAATCCCAAAACCCATGAAAGGCACATACATCATTAGCAATCTGTCAGAGGCCTTCCCCGAACCTATCATCTCTCCTAGGATTGCGGCCTAAAGATCCACAGGTAAATATAAGATGAGAAATAGACATAACTAGACATAGTCAAGCAGAATAATGCCATTGCATTAAACCATGTCCACAAGAACGCAGACCAGACATAAGAGTAGCCGAGTAGGTTATGGCCAAATACCTATGCATTTCCAACAGGAAAAGCTAATAAGCTATACATATAGTAAAACTGAGAAAATCAAGGAACGTTCAGAACTTTAACTAAGTCATTGCATATAAGACGTATATGATTCAGATAAAGAAAAGTACAAAACTTTAACTCATTTTCTGTGAAGAGTTTAATCTAATCAACATTAGCTTGACTGATTTTCGCAGATCCTCATTATCAAAGAACAAAGTTAAGAAATTTAACATAATCAGCTAACAGATCATTACCTAAGCTTAATAATACTAAACAAAATCTCCCAAGATCAGACCAAACAATCCAAAATTCCAGAAAATGTACTTTACCATGGAAGTGACGACGGAAGCTCCATACAACAAGCAGGTGGTACCAAACCACGACTTTCCGGCAAGAATCGCATAGACGTTAGCAACTGAGAGCGGCCATAAGAAGAGAAGCTCATGCCAAACGAGTCCAACTAAGAAATGCGGCTTCTCCATGAGCAAGTAATCTCCGAAATCGGCAATGTACTTGCTTTTCAGATCGGTGAGAAACGCCGGGTAGATTCCTGAAGGAAGTGAGGTTTGGCCGTCGATGAGCGGCGCAATTATCGCCATTGAAGCGAAGTATACGAAGAGAGCTCCGTCGATTAGCTTCCCTAAAGCTCCCATCTTTTCTTCCTTCTCTGATTGATTGATTACTCTGCTTCAAATCTTAAGTTCTGAGAGTCGTTGACTGGAAAAAACCTAGAAGAAGAAAGATCAAATTATTCAATTATTGGTTTACGTAACCGAACTAATAAACCGGGTTCGGTTCAATTAAGTGGTTAAATTTAAGATTTGATTTCAATTTTCCAACATTGAGATTTCAGCAGCAGCAAGAGAAAGATGAGCGAGACGAGACCAGTGCCGAGGAGAGAGAGTCCATGGGGGTTACCGGAAGGTCACCGTGAGCCCAAAGCTCACCGCTGCAACGATCGTGTCGAGGACGTTGTCCAGGTTCTCACCATGTTCTTTCGATTTTTTTTTCTTCCTTCTGATAAACCTTTGGAGATCTCTCTCTTAGATTTCACGTATCTCCTATTATTTTGTTATTGGGGTTGAGAAGTCCACTGAAATCAGAAATTCATTGGCTTTGATGAATCAATCTTCAATTTTGTTTGTTGAAGCTTGTATCAGCTTATTGAATTTGTTGTGATAAACACTTTTTACTGCAATTGAAGAACTAGTATTGCTTGGCTTGAGGAGCCATGATTATTTCAAAGTTATCCTTTTGATGAATTTAGATCATATTATTAGTAACTTTTGCAGGCGTTTTTCGAGGGAAACCCATTCAAGACAGTTCCAGGACCTTTCAAACTCTTCTACAGATGCATGCGTTCTAAGCCAGGGTATGATGTGCAATTTCATACTCTACTATCAAGTGTTCTTTCATACTAAGCTGCAGAATCTTTGCTGTTTGTTGCATTGACAGTGAATGATTCTTAATTCTTTGTCCACCAGCTATTGTTCCGCTTTACACTACCCGCTAAACCCAGTTTTTCGTCTTTTTGATTTCACAATATATAGACGTTTAGTCTTTTCTGCTTTCTCGTCACGCTTAATCATCGTTGGTTTGTGATTCATACTAGATGTAGAGGCTGAACCATTCGTCTTTATTTTTCAGAGAGGAACCAACAGAGCCATTCAAATACCTCGATCTGGAACCTCCAAAGAGGGAAGTTAAACTTGAAGAAGCAAAGCTTGAGTAAAGTGATATTCACTCCCTTTTTTATTCTTGCAAACTTTTTAGCTGAGCATGTAAGCGCCATGACTGTGATTTTAAGTTTACCTTCAACATGTGTCAACAACATCTTATTTTGTCATAACAAAATTGATACTTGGGAGTTTCATTTCAATTTTATCTATTGCTAAATCTGTTCACTTGCAAGCCTCTCTCTGAAAGTGAACTCTGATGAGGAAAAGAAGATGATTTTTTCATTACGTCTCAGAAAAAAGATTTACAATTTAGCTTTGGTCTGTGGTTCCTTGAACTTTCCTATTACAAAATCTCCTGACAAGTTTATTCCCCCTCTATGTTAATAGTCATTTAAACAATTTTTTTAAAACTCTTATCTGTTTAAGTAATTTCGCCATGTTGTGATTGTGAAGTCCCAGCTGCACTTTGGGTGGTTTTGAGTTTCTTGCTACTCTTCTGCTTAAGTATCTCCTTGATCTCTGCTTCCCTCTTATCCACAACTTTTATCAGTTCCTTGAAACTCGGTGCTCGTAAACCCCTCCCTGATCGAGATGGCTCAGACACTTCCCCTGCCCTTTCCTCGTCCGCACTTTCTGGTAGCAACCTTTGGTATTGCCAGAAAACCCTCCAGAAGAAGACAGTGAGTGCCATGAAGCAACTGATGCCACAGATAAGGAAGAGTCCCCAGAAACTCTTTAGTGAAAGCTGAGAGTCCTCACTGTTTGAAATCTGCATTGAGCATTCATGCTTGTAGTTAAGCCATTTCCTGTGGATTTTCTCGAGCTCGCCTTCTTCAGATAGTTGCAAGATAGCCGTTGACATGTCTACAGCTAAAGGGGAGTCTCTTTGGAATGCCTGCAACGTCGGTTTCAAGATTCTTGTAAGAAAAGTTGTAGAGAAAGAGCAAAGATAATATATTCGCAAGTAACTTTCTCAAAACCGATTTTACATACGAAACCCCAGCCAGTGCGTGTGAATTCTTGTCCTACTGTACGGAACTTGCAGTTGCTATTTGTCAAAAGAACTTCGATGTAAGGAAGCTCATCTACAATGGCTGCCACACCGCCAGCTTTGGGACCACGAAGCAGAGCAGAAAGGTACTGTTCTTCGTCTTTCAGTGGAACAATCCTCGAAGGAAGTATGTTAAGCTCATTGATTAGATAATTCCGAGCAAAGGTACCGTCTTGAACTCCAATTGGTTCATTGCTCGTTACCAAGCTATCTATTCCTTCAATCCGAGATGTCAGCTGTCGAACGGTTAGGATCGAAGTGAGACTGGCCGTGTAGCTCGAGTTGATGATCAGAACAACGAATAACCAAATGATCAGCACCAGTCTCCCCAATGAACTCACCGTGTTCTCCCCTGAAAGATCAAAAGGTAAAAAGTAAAAACAACTTTACTTCCCTCCAACATTCTGTAAGCTCTGATGTGAAAATCTACCAGGTTACTTGAGTTAGAGCGTACTTACTATGAGAGAAGAACATCGTTGAGAAGCTAAACCTGTAACAATGAAGAGGGGAAGGACAATAAGGTTTAAAGGTAAACTCAAGCTCGGTGTCAAGAACTGGGAAACTAACCAGAAGATGGTAATGAGTTGACGCCTAGGAGGGCCACGGAATTCTTGGTTGAAGCGGTGTTCGAGAATCCAGACCATGGCTCCCACAAAGAGAAAGAAGGCTCCAGTGACAGCCCACATCTCTATAGTGAATGGTTTCAGGAATGACCAAGGACTAGACTTGGCCTCCTTAACCGGAGCCACCACCACAAGCCCTGATTCTATAAACGGTTGTGTGAAATCTACATATCTTGTTCTGTTTGTAACGATTGTGATATCTCCTACAGCTACATCAAACTTCTGAAGGGGAAACATGAGAAAAAAGACAGGTTAGCATCTTCTGAAAGTTGTGAACTTGATTGAGTAATGTAGCTACTCACATCTGCAACCACTTCATTGACGAGATTATCGTAAGAAGGATTTCTCTTCCCGTCTCCATATAGTATATAAGTACGCGGAACAGGATATGGAAGCAATTCAATTGCGGCTTCAAAGACATCAATGCAGTAGCCTCTAACGCCAGGCGGGTTCTTATCCTTAGAAACGTAATCTGTATAGCTCACACGGTTAGGCACCCCGATTTTGAGCGGTTTTCCATTATTAGGAAACACCCAACCACGAGGAGGCTTAGTTACTTCGCCTGGCCATATGATTCCATGAAGACGCTGGTTTGCTGTGGATGTGTTTGGAGGCTTAGAGTACAAGGTCTCCGGATGGACCACAGAGAGACCCGAATGATTTGACCAGTACCCGACTGTGCGTGGACCTGTGCCTTCTAAGTTTAGAACTTCATAAGCCGGGTTAACCCGGTTTCTATCTGAATCAAACTGGATTGGGCCCGTCACACCAGTATGATTCATCCCAAGAATGATCTTCATAAACTTCTCCCCTTCATTGAAAACACTTAGTGCTGATAGCTGAATAGTGCTACCATTTGTTTTGTGTAGATTTGGATCGTTGGAGAAAGTTATTTTATTGTTTTCTCTGAAGAAAACATCGAGGGCACGAGCAACTAACCAAACAGAATCATAAGCGTACATCGCGTAAGAGTTGAAGCCATCATTTGGTCTAAGATTCTTCCATCTCGCTATAAACTGTCTCTTCACACTACTCTCAATTGTGTAATGGCGAAAAGCAACCACTCCTTGCAAGAAATCCATAGTGTCCGAATCCACGTGCTCCATGGAATCCATAGCAGTAGGAAGCCAGTCTGTTGCGATCCAAACATAACCACTTCCCATCATTCCAAGAGATTTAGCCACAGAGAAAACGTTTAAACCAGAGTCAGGATTCACATGAACAACGAAAACCCGAGATTCCATCAGATTAACAGAAACCAACAAGTCCTTGATGGAGCTAGAATCTGCACCAGGAGTAATTGCAGCCTTGTAAGAGATCCTGGAGCGTTTCTTGGCTAATACATCGCCTAGAACAGATATCCCGTTCCTACCACACTCATCATCAACAAATATCGCAATGACTTGTCTCCATCCGGAATAGGATAAAAAATCTGCGATTGCATGCATTTGGAAGTAATCATTCTGCGTGGTGCGGAGGAAATAAGGATATTGCAGAGAGGAGAGAGTCGGATCCGTTGCTCCAAATGACAAGAGAGGTACATGAAGCTCATTAGATACATAGGAGATCATGTGAGCAATCCCTGAAGATTGTGGACCAATGGCTGCAACCACTTTGTTTTCCATCAGCTGCAAAGCTACACCATAAGATGAAACATAATCATCACTCATTCTTTGAGGCATTTTCACAAACTAGTCCTGAGTTAAAAAGTTGTTCCCTTTGGCCACAGTACTAAGAGAGAAGATGAAGAAGAAAGCAGAATATACCTCCCATGGTGCCTATAAATCCACTGCAATTTGAGTCTTGAAAAACAATATTAAGCTTGATGCCCTTAAGTACAGTTTGGTCAGCATTAACATCATCCATTGCCGCTATAAACGCGGGTTTAGCCGCTCTTCCGATAAAAGAATCATAAGTAAACAGAGCTCCGACATTCACAGAGCTTGGCTTCTGTGATAATGGCGGCAAAGAAGAAGTTGAAGACGAGTTTCTTGAGAAATTACTTCTGCAAGCACATTCCTTTGGAACGACCCACAAGACAGAGAGACATAACAACACAACTCTGATTGCTTTCGCCATAGAAACTCCTCTTATCGTCACCAAAAATCTCATCTTTATCACAATTTCCAGCAAAAGCACTGGTTTTTTTCTCTTTGTCCTGGTCTTATAAAACCATTTGGTATATTTGGAGTAACACCTGCGAAATAAACAATGTCCGACATGAATCAAGATTGAGATTAACAGTTAACAAAAGACAAAAAGATGGTCCAGAAATCTGGTGAAAGAAGGAAAGCAAACCAAGAAATCAGGAGTTAGATTCTGTAGAGATTGGTGTACACAGATTTGTGTCTGTATATTTATTTATAATGTATAAAATCAATGTATTTATAAAAACTGGTGCCTACATAAAAATCGGTTCGAATTAAAAAAAAAAAAAAAAAAAAAAAAAAAAAAAAAAAAAAAAAACTGGTGCCTACATGTGAAACTTAGAACTGAAAATAAAGAAGTGTAAGAGGGCCGTCTTAAAGATGGTTTGCAGAAAAAGAAGCAAAAAGCGTAATAAATAATTCAATGAACAGAGAATCAAATGATGATGGCTGACTGGCTGTGATATATGTCAAATAATTAAAACATAAACCATACGAATAATATCATCGGTGATATTTCAAGTTGAATAAAATAAAAAGACAGTGATGACTTAATTCTGCTGAACATGGCAGAAGGAAAAGTGGAAAAGTACATCCATATAAATATCGGATTTTTGAAGAACTTTATTTTATTTTATTAAACTTAATTGAATTTGTAATTAGAAGATCTATTAGATTACAATCTTTGAGATTTTGGGACCAAAACTTGGGGAGACATATGAACTAAAGTATAATAATTTCTTCATAGGGATAATATATGTAAGAACAAAAAGAAACTCAAAAACATGCATTTGAAAAAAAAGAAGAAGCAACCTTGGAATAAATACGAGAAACAAACTGTAGTTAGAGATCCATATTCTTCCGAAGTAAACGAGTGATTGAGCACTAAGTATAAAGAAGAAAGACAGAAAAGAAGACGAAGAGGCAGGAGAAGAACTGTTTCTGAGGTCAAGCAAAGAATAATTCATAATATTCTCTCTTTTTTTCTTTCTTTTTTTCTTCTTACTTTTTTTTTTTGGTGTTTTATGAAATTTTGCAACTTTTGTTTTGGAGTGCCATTTTCAGGAGTGGTCAGTGAAGACGTAGGCCAAGGTGTGGGGTATCCATGCTTTACTTGTGTCCTCATACTATTCGAGAATCAAATTTTTACTTTGGCTCTTATTGGTAACTAGTATCATTTATTAAGATAGTTAATGCATTTTTCTTTATGGTTACAGCGGATTGTTAAATGGTAATTAGGGTAACTACGTACGTATATGGGGAAAAAAATAGTAATTTAAACTTTAAAGTGTGAATATGACAAGTGACAACCTAATTGCTCCAAGGCCGCCTTCGTCTCCTCGACGGTTGTCAAATCAATTTCACGCAAAAAAATAAAAGATATTTTCAGCCACAAATAGTAAAGTAATTGTACTATTGATTTTGGGATTTATATGATTAAAGGTGCATGAAACACATGGACTCGACTATTCTTTGTCTTTAGAGTGTTCATTAAGGAATGTTATAATTAAAGAGCTGCATTTGTTAATTGTTAACACATAATATAATATGCTACTGAATCCACAAATATCTTGTCGGCAATCGTAGGCCTGGGCATTCGGGTACCCGTTCGGATTCGGTTCTTTTTCGGGTATCGGGTCTATTCGGGTAGGGGGTCAAGACCCATTCGGGTATTCTAAAAATTCGGTTCGGGTTCGGGTCGATTCGGGTATTTTAATAAAAAAGCAAAATACCCGAAAATAACCAAAAATACCCGGAATATTTTCGGGTTCGGGTCGGGTTTGGGTTTTTAACTCATATATACCCAAATCTAACCGAAATATCCGATTTCTCGAAAATACATTGGTTACTCTTTACCCAAATATAACCAAAAATATCTAAAATACCTAATATATTCAGATTCATGATTGTAATTTTAGGTATTTCGGGTATTATAAATATAAAAATAACTAATATTTTTAGGTGTATATTTGTATTCGGGTACATTCGGATATTGGATTCGGTTCGGGTTCGGTTCGGGTTTTTTTCAGGTAGGAAGTCAGGACCCATTCAGGTATTTTTAAAAATCGGGTTCGGGTTCGGTTCGGGTATTGTTCGGGTTTTTCGGTTCGGGTATTCAGTTCCGGATATTTTGCCCAGGCCTAGGCAATCGTATGACCAAATTTTTTATTTATTTAGAACAAAATATTCGACCAAAATAAATCTGAACCATGAAAATATACCGTTGATTTTTTCTTTGAATTTTCTCAATTTGTTGTTTGGATGTTTCTGAGGGTAAGGGCCCATTTCATTTTTAATTTGTCTTGTTAAGAGTAATTTAAAAGCCATGCCTTTAACGTATGACGATATATATATACCTCTATGAAGATCGAATATTCGACTTAAAAACATACTTAATCGGGAAAGATACACAATTTATTGACTTCATTAATCTAATCCAAACTCCACGTTCATTGGGTAAATTTTGTGAACAGCTTATAATAATAATGGGCCTGAGATAATAGGCCGTGATGAATATAGATAAATGGGTTACAAAAATAAGGAATTGGCCCATATCATGATGGCTAAAGTAATGGGCCGACAAATAGAGATAATGGGCCGTGAAAGCAATGATTTGAAAGGAGGGATGATTACAGAAGCTGACGATGGATAAGTCTTTTCTGGATAAAACACTCTTCTTCTTCTCTCCATCCTCCTTTGGAGCAGAGCTAAGAGCTCCATCATCAATGGCTTCCTCACTCGTCTCTTCTTTTCAACCCAGGTATTCTTCATATACTACAAACCCTTATGCCGATTCTAGTTTCCTCATTCCTCTAGGCTCTAGGGTTTCATTTACTTGGCATTTCTTTTCAAAATCTCTTTAAATTGGGTTCATGAGCCTCTTAAGTATAAAACAATCTCATTGAATCGGTTCCCATGTTAGTTTTTTATTAAGAAGTCGATGGGAATGTGGACTTGGTTTGCGATTCTTGAAATTTTGGAAATTTGAGTGTGTTATGCGGAACTCCGTGTTTAAAAGCAGGATTCTAGAGGGTTTTTAGCTTTAGCCATGGAATCCGAAACTTGTATAACTATATAGCTCTTCCTTAATCCAACGTTATCTTATTTCCTGTTTCAGTTCCTTTGTATTGGTTTAGATATCTGCTAGAGTTCATGTTTTGTCTGAAGATAGATAACTTCCCTTTTGTTTTAGGTCAGCGTTTTTGGGAGATAGAAATGTGTTCAAGGTCTCAAGCACACCTTTTGCTCAAGTTGGTTACTCCAGTAAGACCATTGAGTGCAAGGAATCAAGGATAGGAAAGCAACCGATCGCTGTACCTTCCAATGTTACCATTGCATTGGAAGGTCAAGACTTGAAAGTGAAAGGTCCATTAGGAGAGCTGGCTTTAACTTACCCACGCGAAGTTGAACTTACCAAGGAAGAATCCGGTTTATTAAGGGTCAAAAAAACAGTCGAAACTAGAAGAGCCAACCAAATGCACGGTCTTTTCAGGTTACAAACTTCTCATCTTTTCTTGTTATCAAATAGTTGCAATGAAGTTTTTGAGGTTAAAAAGATTGTTTGTTCTAATCCTTTTTAACTTTTGTGCGTGTTTTAGGACGCTTACCGATAACATGGTTGTGGGAGTATCAAAGGGATTTGAGAAAAAACTTATACTTGTGGGTGTTGGTTATCGTGCAACAGTCGAAGGGAAAGAGCTGGTGCTGAATCTCGGGTTCTCACACCCGGTTAAGATGCAGATACCGGATAGTCTGAAAGTGAAAGTGGAAGAGAACACAAGAATCACTGTGAGTGGATACGACAAGAGCGAAATCGGGCAGTTTGCTGCTACGGTTAGGAAGTGGAGGCCACCAGAGCCATACAAAGGTAAAGGAGTCAAGTATTCCGACGAGATCGTTCGGACAAAGGAAGGAAAAGCTGGAAAGAAGAAGTGATCTTCATATTTCATTATTATCTCCTTTCAATGTTAATGTGTAGTGCTCAAATCTGTTTAGAAATGAAGATGTTTGTTTTGGGATTCTTGAGATGTTTTTAAAGGAACCCATTAATTGTTTTTGATGCTCTAAGAAATGTCATCTGAATGTTATTTTGGTCCATCTTTAGTCCAAATCCAGAGGTTCTTTAGTGCTTTGATTGAACAAGAACTTAGGCATTTTAACACAAAGTGCCTCATCAAACCGAATTTATAAAAAAAAAAAGAAGATGAATGGAAACAAAATTTAATACTAGTATCTGTTTTTTTTTTTAAATATGACGATAACTCTTTAAAAAACGAAAATTTCCTAAAAATTAAAAATAATCGGAACTAAAACAAAACCCCTGATTGAAGAAATTCTTTTTGGTTTCAGTTCACCGGAGGCAAAAATCATCTCTCGCTCTCAGCTGCGAAGATGCAACCAATCAAAAGATCCAGAAAACATGTTGAAGAAGAGCCAACAATGGCTGAACCTAAAATCAAGTACGATCGTCAACTCAGGTATACATACATACTCTTTTTTTTTTTGTTTCTCTTCGAACTCTACTTCTCTTCTTGTTGGGAGGGAAATTGATGAAGTAATCGTTGATTGATTAGGATTTGGGGTGAGGTAGGTCAAGCGGCTTTGGAAGAAGCGAGTATCTGTTTGCTCAATTGTGGCCCTACTGGCTCCGAGGCCTTGAAGAATCTCGTCCTTGGTGGTGTTGGCTGCATCACCATCGTTGATGGATCCACGGTTCAAATTGGAGACCTTGGAAACAATTTCATGGGTACTGACTCATTTTTGTAAATTCTGCTGGGGGTTTTTGTGGACTTACTTGGGTTATGATGATTTTTTTTTCATGTGAAGTCGATGCGAAGAGTGTTGGGCAGTCTAAAGCCAAATCTGTTTGTGCGTTTCTCCAAGAGCTTAATGATTCTGTTAACGCCAGGTTTATTGAGGAGAATCCAGACACTTTGATTACTACTAACCCATCTTTCTTCTCTCAGTTCACTCTCGTTATAGCCACTCAGGTACCATTGGGCTTCTATTTCCAAAGTTGCAATCTTCTCTAATGATTTGTGTCCTAAAACTGTTCAAAGTCTAGCTCAATCACCATGGATCATGATACCTCATATTCAATGTTTTTTTTAGATTCTCATATGTACCTTTCCTCGTCCTCTTCACTGGATATTGCTTTCTTCGTCTTCTTTTCCTGTGTTATTGTTATTTAAGTCGTTATTTCAACCCCTTTTCGACATTGGCTGGTTGCAGCTGGTGGAAGATTCAATGGTGAAACTTGATAGAATCTGTCGAGAAGCAAACGTCAAGTTGGTTTTGGTTCGCTCTTATGGCCTTGCTGGGTTTGTCCGCATCTCTGTAAAGGTAATTCCTGTCTAGACCCAATTTGTGATAAATAATGGACTACTTTGTTGTAGTTGTGTATTTAAAATGGTATGCCGTGGTTAGGATATTGGCCAATGAGAATATATGCTAAGTTCTGTTCTTTTCTTGTTTATCAGGAGCACCCCATAATTGACTCAAAACCAGATCATTTTCTTGATGACCTTCGCTTGAATAATCCATGGCCTGAACTCAAAAGGTACACTGCTCTCATTTCCTCTCACATTATGTTGTTCTGGCATCCTTTAACATTGTGGTTGTGGATGGACGACTGAGTACTTACTGATATTCTTAATTATTCATTGAACGGCAGTTTTGTGGAGACCATTGATCTAAATGTATCAGAGCCGCCCGCTGCACATAAGCACATACCTTACGTTGTCATTCTTGTGAAGATGGCTGAGGAGTGGGCTCTATCCCATAGTGGTAATCTTCCCTCAACCAGGGAAGAGAAAAAAGAGTTTAAGGTTTAGTTCTTTTTTGTAACTTAGAAAATTCATTAGCGAGCTTGCTTTCTTGTTTTAATTATCTATATCCTTGAATTCTTAGGATTTGGTTAAGTCCAAGATGATATCTACTGATGAAGATAACTACAAAGAAGCCATTGAAGCCGCTTTCAAAGTTTTTGCTCCTCGGGGAATCAGTAAGTAGATATCTTGTTTGGTGTAGGTAGAAACTTGAATTTGGCGCTTCCATGCCACATATGTTTACTGTTTCCATGGTTGAGTGTTAAAGCTGTAGCGATTGTTGATATTGGAGCTAAACTAACAGAAAGCTCTGTCACGGGTCAAATCACAGTATTCTTCATGTTGAAGTTCAACCAAACCTGTTTTCTCTTCCAGGCTCAGAGGTTCAAAAATTAATTAATGATAGTTGTGCTGAAGCGAATTCAAACTCCTCAGCTTTTTGGGTGATGGTAGCGGCTCTGAAGGTTTGAAACTTGAAACCTGCTCTGCCAGAACTCATACTTTCATGTTCATTAGGAAGTGCAAACTGCAACTAAATTTGATTTGAAATGATTTAAAATCATGATACTTGTACATAACCACCTGCAGGAGTTTGTTTTAAACGAAGGTGATGGAGAGGCACCCCTTGAAGGCTCTATACCAGATATGACATCTTCAACAGAGTTAGTGCACTTGTCTCTATGGCACTGAAAGTCACCCTCAGTCTATTTTTCACATTGCTAATGTAGCTGTATGGTTACTCTTTGTAGACACTATATCAACTTGCAGAAAATCTATTTAGCCAAAGCCGAGGCTGATTTTCTTGCCATGGAGGAACGAGTTAAAAACATTTTAAAGAAAATCGGCCGTGATCCGAATAGCATCTCAAAACCAACAATCAAGAGCTTCTGCAAGAATGCAAGGAAACTTAAAGTGAGAATACTAAACTTCCTAACAAATTTGATTTGTATGCTAATGTCAATGTTTTACCTATTGCTTGTTTACTTTTTCTTTCGGAGCATTATCAGAAACATATGATTTGAGTAAAACATAAACCACAATCCGTCCTTTGTAGTTGTGCAGATATCGTATGGTAGAGGACGAGTTCAGCAATCCTTCTGTAACTGAAATTCAAAAGTATTTAGCGGATGAGGATTACAGGTGCGAATTTTCCCTTTTCTTATAAGTACAAAAACATCAAATGATTTGAAAGATGACCTTTCTACAGATGGTTACTCTTTTATCTGTCTCATACATGCCATTAGATGTAAAATTTACTGTATAAGCTATTCATTTAGTTGACGTGAGCTAACCAAACCTTTTAGTTCATCTTAGGCTTACACAGCAGAAACAAATAGATTCTGGATTTAGTTCAGTTTTTTTTCTAGGCTTGCATGTTTAGCTCTTATACTTAATATTGTTACCGTCGCAGTGGTGCAATGGGGTTTTATATTCTTCTTAGAGCTGCGGACAGATTTGCTGCCAACTATAACAAGTTTCCTGGGCAGTTTGATGGGTAAGAAACTCATTATGGCACTAAGCTTAATCTTATTTTTGAACAATGTGTCCCCTTGTTTGGCTATTAACATGCAATACATTTTGGTAGAGGAATGGATGAGGACATTTCTCGATTAAAAACTACTGCCTTGAGTCTTCTTACGGACTTGGGCTGTAACGGCGCAGTACTCCCCGATGACCTCATCAATGAGATGTGCCGCTTTGGTGCCTCAGAGATTCATGTGGTTTCTGCCTTTGTTGGAGGAATCGCATCTCAAGAAGTCATCAAGGTTCGATTCGATTCATATTTCCTTCTCATTGTTTCAAATACAATTGTCTTATGGGGAAGTCGCTGCTTCTGGACATGCATACCGAGATGATTGAATACGTAGTTGTCTCTCTCTATCTTTGTTTGCAGCTTGTCACGAAGCAGTTTGTTCCAATGTTGGGGACTTACATCTTCAATGGCATTGATCACAAGTCTCAGTTATTGAAATTGTAGAAGATCTTTCCTTACACATTGGCTTGAAACAGAGAGAAATAGCTCTATCATATCTATTTATTCTTCTCTGAGTTGAAAGAGATTCTTTTTGCGGCTACTGGGAAACAAACTGTTCAATGACAATTCAGCCGAGACAATTCGACTCTGAGTTTTCCAACATATTGCTTTGCTTTGTCCTCTCTTAAGGTTATAAATAGGAATTTGAAGGTTTCATATACACTTATACAGTATGTAACTTGGGGAAACGGCCTTTTTCAACCTCAACTATTCGCTGGCGGGTGATTCCTGATTTAACAACGGACACGAGTCGCTTTGGCAACTATAGCGGTTTCTCATTCAAAATCGAAACCTGAACTAATGCAAATGAGCCGATTTCAACACGACGCGAAACAGTGTTAGTCCGGAAGTTAACGGTTGCTCAACCTTGGGTAATTCTCTCTCTACATCATTCAACAAACCATGAAAATAAAATCAAATAACCTTGAAAACCATTAACTTCTGAACTAACATTGTCTCGCGTCGTGTTAAAATCGGCTCATTTGCATTAGTTCAGGTTTCGATTTTGAATTATTTTTGGGTTTGGATTAAAATCGACTAGAGATCATAGTTTGGGTTGGAAAAACCCGCCAGCAAATAGTTGAGGTTGAAAAAGGCTATTTTCCCGTATGTAACTTTGACCAGAATCAATGAAACAAGTCTCGTAAAATGGGCCAAGAGTAAGCCCATTCTCCACATGACTCTCATAAAATGGGCCACAGTAAGCCCATTCTCTAAATGATTCTAGTCGGCGAAAGGGGTAATGTGACGATTTCTGCAAATCATCATACAAAGTACAAACGACAAAAAATTGCATTACGTTAACATCAAAAGTTACTATCAATAAAAATGGGGTCCAAGAATAAGATCAATCAAAATGGAATATTAAAATTGTCTAAAAGTTAATGGGCATCAAAGAATCAATAACATCAAAAGAAAAGAAGGAGAAAAGATAAGAACCACAAATCCAAATTTAGGGATTTGGGGGCAATAAAGACAAATGGCATATGCATGAATAATAGAGGCCATTGAAGCTCGGTGGGTTTCACTCGTTTTACTACCATGGCAATTTTTTTTTTTTTGGTAAACATGTGAAGAAACCATGGCATTTTGTTTTCCATATAAAAGTATAATATAAACCTTTTTTTTTCTTATGCATTTGTTTTAATATGTATATATAAGCACATTTCTTATGCATAGTCTTGTGAACTTCTTATGTCGAACGCAGCCGACATTAGCGTCTGTCGCTTCCATCTACATTGCATTTGAATTTTGTGAACAGCATTTGACAAAAGAAAAACTCTAACTTTTTTTTTTGTCAAAAAAAGAAAAGCTCTAATGATGCGAAACGAATCTTGTAATAGCATATCTTAAAGAATCATCACGCTTAAGAATAACAGTCTAAGATAGAACTTTGTTAACGCATTATATATGCTAATGACAATACTGATATTGATCTACTATACAACATTACAACTCACATACACACACTATCGGTATGAACTTTTTTTTTTTAATCCGGTATAAACTTATATTAATGCAAAATATAGGTTAGAAATCATAAAAATCCTAACAAATCTAGTGTGTATTTAGCAATTTAATTTAATCTTTTCAGTTGAAGCTTCAATCAAACCCATAGTTTGCTCATACATATTAAAAGCACTTACACTTAAATTAAAAGGAAAAAAAAAGTGAAGATCTTCTAGTTTCAGTTAAATGTTGTTGCTTTATATTCATACTTAATTACAAGTTGAATACGTAACCAAAATAAAAGAACACTTTAATTAAGATGAACATAGAAGTTTCCTTAATCATGTTTTCAATCATGAGATTTGACTAAACACTTTTTTTTTCTTGAGAAGATTCTAGTTTCAATGTAAAATAATTGATTCGACTTAGATCATCTAATTTCGATAATTTTGACCCAAGTGGTTGCTTTTTTTCTTTCTTTTTTTCCTTTTGGTATCTACATAATATGTGTAAACTTGATAGGAAAAAACGATTAAAAAAAGAGAGACCGGTTTCTGAAAAATGAGTTAGCAACAAGAAACAGATGGATGGATGGAAATGAGATGTCAGCTTTAAAGGGGTTTGCTTGAAGAAGAGAGTGACCAAACTTAGACATTGCATTAGGTAAAGTGGCAGTCTCCTCTTTCAAGCAAAGCACCTAACTTCTACCATCCTCTCCTCTCTCACTACCAATTCATTGATTCTCCAATATACCAATTTAAACAGAACATAACCGACCGGTCGGAAGATTTGGGTTAGTGATTGAACTAAAAAGTAAAATTCAGGTTACACGACCCGTACCTTTCATTATGATCATATGGAGAGCGTCAATGTCCATCGGTTGCCAACGGTGAATACTTAAATGGCACTCTCTCATTTCTCTAAATTATTGGTGGCCATACATCTATGTGTATAATAATGTACAAGTATTAAAGCATGCATGTGTCTACTTCACTTTTATGGTTATGGAAATTTTAAGCTTTTTGGCTTCCTCTTTGGTACACCAAAAATCACTATATCAATCGGTTGGCTTATGTAAGAGACTTGAAAATGGCTTCTTCTTTTTTTATAGACAAAATTGACTCCAATTTTTTTAATTTTATGAAAACTATCTTTAAAAAAAACAGAAAAGAATTGCTAAAATTATTGCCATATAATTTGTTACACATTCATCTACCCACCTATTAAAAAATCTATAACTATAGGACATTACTTTTGAGGGGAAATAATGTGTGTAACATATCTATAAGACTATAACATAAAAATCTGTAAAATATATGTGTATATATATAGACAAACATGTTTGAAATAAAACCATGTGGTTTGATTAACACTTTAACAGCTATTATGACACACCATACACGTTATACTTGACCACCACTCCCATTCTCAAATTATAAGACCATAAAATAATTTTCTTTATTCACTGAAAAAAAAATATCAATGATAGATCTGAAGCTTATTAACATAAAATAAAAGTGGATAACATTGATCCAATCAATTCATTGCAGTCTCTTTGTTTGTTATTCAAAATAGCACCGACCTTTTGAATGATCACATGCCATGAGCACAGCCATCGATGGAATATTACGTGAAGAAAACAAAAACTTGAATATTTCCTCACGATTTAGTTCAGAAACCTGGTTGAGAAAAAGAATGAGAGTCCACCTAAACATATATACAAAATACAGTGTTATATTTAATAGAAATAGATGTGTTACAACATATATATGTGTTCTCTAGGACTGAAAAGATGTCTTTTGAACTGATTTTCATAATAATTCTAAGACATAGGGAATTGAAAATGGCATCAACTGATAAACTGACTTTGTATAATCTAAACGTAACTTGGTTAAACGTAGAGAGCATCTTTACACGAAATATTTTTTAGAAAAATCAAGTGAAGAATTAACAATGACCAGTATTGTCGAACAAAATAAAGCTATCCACTAAAACTAAGATGTAGAAAACCCCAAAACTAAACCTAGGGACAGTACATATTATATCAAACGGGAATTATTAAAATTCAAGAACAATCGATGGCCAAAAGTCATACATGTGGCATCATTTTGGACATAAGTTACACAAAACTCACAAACATACATCAATGGATTGTAAAACGTTCATGATGACACGTGGAAGAAGCTCGTGAGGTGAGACCCACTGTAGTCGTTATATTTTGGGATACTGATCTTGCAGTGAGCCTTGTGATGCTGATGCAAAACAGAAAGCATCACATGATCGTTAGTAGTCTGTTCAGTCGCAGAATCTCCCTAATGAACTCAAATGCATTTATTTATTTTGTAAGTGATCATTTTGAAATATTTTCTACAATTAAACGTGCATGTTCACGTAAAACAATTTATATATGGATCTATGTTTTACTCAATATTATGTGACGACAAAAGACAAAAACACACACACACACACAAAAAAAAAAGATTAAGTAGCAGTTGTCATAAATAATCGACTTTTTTTTTTTGGAATAACACGATATAGTCATATAGACATACAAAAGTGGAGTCAATCGGTCGAAATGGACGTGAAGCCATAAACGATGGCCATCAAAACATAACAAGTTGTGTTAAACTAAATCTAAACGAATGTGATGAAGCATTAATGGGTTACACACTATACATGAAAGATAAAACTAACGGCGTTGGTTCGTAAAGTGCACGTGAAAATGAATGTACGTATACCCCTTATTTATTTTTCAACCATTGAATATTCAATTACTATTTACTAACCAATCTAACTCACCACCTATTATGCCCATGTGGCGAGGACCAGCCCTAAGCTAGCTAAAGTAGGAGTCAACCAATTAAAAGTGCCTCTAATTCCAATATATCAAATCGCTACGCATAAACATATACCGTATGTGACATACCTATTAAGGTATATGTAGATAGGCTATTTACATATCACAAGCTGGAAAACAAATAAATTCCATCTAATATGTTGTTTTATATCAACAAGTTTTATCTAATTTATTAAAAGACCAAAAATCGTGATGCCATGTGGCGATTGATATTTGCTTCCATGTTTATTATTATTTTTTTGTCATGGAACCAAACTATAGGTTTTATCGTGATGCCATGCTTTTTTACAGTTTGTAATGAAATAATGGTAAATTTATAGTATAAGTAAAAAAAAATCCCAAACATAATGCGTTTTCTGTTTTGTCAATGACATAATGCATTTTGTTTGTATCATAGTGATTGGTGAATAATGGTATTTTGAATTTACTGGCATTATTAATCGGTGCAGAGCGGTTACAAATAAAGAGGTGGTGTGGTAACTTGGTAAGTATCCTATATTTATTTGGTTAAAATAATAAATACTATATGACAAAAAAAAAAAAGAAGTTATGAGGGACAGTTTGGTAAATATCTAAAAAATATTGGTCAGTTTAATAAATTGGAAAGTAGAGACGGTTAAGAAGTCGTTCTGATTTCGTCTCTCTTCTCTTTAACGTCGTTCTCGTTCCTCTCTCTCTCTCTCTCTCTCCAATTTCCCTGCGAAAATCAAAGAGACTAACACAGAGAGCTTCTTCGATTTTCTCTCGATCTGTAAAATCTCAGATTTTGATTTTGGAAAAGATTTTAGCTCTTCTTCTTTGTTGCTGGGTCTATTTCTGGGTCTCGAACTGATTTATAGAGTTAGGTTCTCCGATGATAGAGCTCATCGGCTTGAGATAGCTACTGAGAGTTCTGGATTTATCTTTATCTTGAGACGAAAAATGTCGACGAAGAACAAAGTAGAGTATACTTCTAGAAGCTTCGTATCGAGAAAATGGACGATATTACTCTGCTTGGGAAGCTTCTGCGTCGGAATGTTCTTCACCGATCGGTAAATTTACGAAATTCTCAAAACTGATTCTTTCTTTCTTTCGTCTTCATCTTCTCGTTACTCTGATTCTTTGTTTCATGAATTTTGACCTTTTTGAGTCAATTCACGACTCAGTTTCGTTTTAATTTGAGATCCTGAGTTTCTAATTTATCTTTAAGCTCTCTAAATTTAGCCTTTTTCAGAAAAAAATACTCTTTTTTTTTTTTGTGTGTAATCAACAAAGTTAATTACTCTTTTAATTAATGGCTTTGCCTACTAATTCACTATCTTTGAGACTTCAAAAACATGACTTTGTTGTTGTTATTGTTTGCAGGATGTGGAATATTCCGGAATCTAAAGGCATGTCTCGTCCATCTGTAACCGAAGCTGAGAGATTGAAGTTGATCTCTGAAGGTTGCAATCCAAAAACTGTGAGTGATGATGGATTTTTTAATCTTGGTGTCAAATTCGATTATGAAACTCTTGTGTTTTATATTCCATCTGATCTGATTGGTTTCTCCATTAGCTTTACCAGAAAGAAGTCAAAAGAGATCCTCAGGCTTTGTTTGGAGAAGTAGCCAATACACATATTGCATTACAGTAAAGTTTCGATCTTGTGTTGTATGATTTCAAATACAATATAGAAGTTTTGATGTTTAACAATGTCTTGTGTTGTTACCTGCAGGACATTGGATAAGACCATCTCAAGCTTAGAGATGGAGTTGGCTGCAGCAAGGTCAGTTCAGGAATCTTTACAAAACGGTGCTCCTGTATCAGATGATATGGGGAAGAAGCAACCTCAGGGAAAGAGACGGTTTTTGATGGTCGTTGGGATTAACACAGCTTTTAGTAGCAGAAAGAGAAGAGATTCTATTAGAGCAACGTGGATGCCTCAAGGTTTTTATAACAGTTCAGCCTCTTCTGGATTCTTATTGACATCTTTATCCTAGATTGTTGTATCTGATTAAAAAGGTTTTTTTTTAGGTGAAAAAAGGAAGAGACTAGAAGAAGAGAAGGGGATTATCATCCGATTCGTCATTGGTCACAGGTGAGATTTGTTTTTCCTTTAGTTTCTGATGTGAGTTCCATTTTGGTTCTCTGTGTAGTGTATACTAATGATGTATGTCATTGATTCTATAGTGCCACGACCGGGGGAATTCTAGATCGAGCTATAGAAGCTGAGGACAGGAAGCATGGAGATTTCTTGAGACTGGTATAGTTCTGATTTTAGTTCACAGTTAAAGAATTCCAAGGCTAGCTCTTATCTTCATTTCATTGCTCCTTGTTTTTGATAGGACCATGTTGAAGGGTACCTAGAGTTGTCAGGCAAGACGAAAACTTACTTTTCTACAGCATTTTCCATGTGGGATGCAGATTTCTATGTCAAAGTAGATGATGATGTTCATGTCAATATAGGTAAGTTCTAAAATCTTCTTCCCTCAATTATGTAAGGAAAACGAGTTGAGTTGGTTTTATGTGATTTTGGCATACATTATACTGGCAATACTAATGGGTTCAATGTTTCACTGAAATGTCTGCAGCAACTCTTGGGGAAACTCTTGTCAGACACCGGAAAAAACCACGGGTCTATATTGGTTGCATGAAATCTGGCCCTGTCCTCTCTCAAAAGTAAAACATCTTCCAGTTTCCTCCTCCATATCATTTTATATACTGGTTCTTCCTTTTGTTAAGTCATGTTGGTTTTATGGAGCAGAGGGGTGAGGTACCATGAGCCAGAGTACTGGAAATTTGGTGAAAATGGGAACAAATACTTCCGTCATGCTACTGGACAATTATACGCCATTTCAAGGGATTTGGCTTCTTATATATCAATCAATCAGTAAGATGAAGATGTGATTACATTTTATCCGTAGCTCAGCTGTTAACTCATGTATCTCTTCGTTCTTATACATGTTAAATGTTTCAGGCATGTTCTTCACAAGTATGCGAACGAAGATGTTTCGTTAGGAGCTTGGTTTATTGGGATTGATGTTAAACACATTGATGACAGAAGATTATGCTGCGGAACTCCTCCTGGTAAGTCTTAAGATTTTTTTCGTCTCCTGCTTGATGTGATACTTTTTTAGATGCTTCAAAAATCAATGTACAGATTTTGAGAACTTAGAAAAAACGTCAACATCTTTGGTTTTGTGCACCTAACTACAATAATATCTGTTTTAAAGCAAAAGGCTTAAAGTGAAGAGACCTTAACCTATATAAAGAGATGACTCGTCCCTATCAAAAATCTCTACTGATACAAAGTCTTACCAAGAACCTAAATGTTTTAAATTTGACAATAACATCAAATCTTACTTCTTGTTTCAAATCTGAAACATGCTGCAAACGTACTCAAAAGATCTTAAAAGATTCAGTTTTGGTATTTGCAGATTGTGAATGGAAAGCACAAGCTGGAAACATCTGTGTAGCATCATTCGACTGGAGCTGCAGTGGAATCTGCAGATCAGCAGATCGCATCAAAGAGGTTCATCGACGTTGTGGTGAAGGCGAAAAGGCTCTTTGGAGTGCCACATTTTGACATATAAACAGAGGAATGATAAAAACATAACTGTTTTGCTCAGCCCCCAAAACAGCTCAAAGATCAAGAGGAAGGTTCAGAGATACAATTCCAAGAGATATCCACTCTTGTATTCATAGGTATATAGAAGAGGCAGGATTAGAGATAAGTGAGAAAACCTCTGGCAAGAATCGCGATTGCGTATTGCGATTGTGGCGTTTCCATTTTGATAAAAGGAAACTGATCACTGCAGCGAACGCCCCTGCTGTTTTGTTCGTTTTGGGTGGCTTGAAGATGGATTTTTACATCAAAAACAAAACACTATGCCCTGATTCTTTTGGCTCCAAAATACTATTGCATAGACAGAAATCGGATTCTATGTAATAAATAACCTCTCTGGAAATCATTAGGCACCACAATAAACTTGTCAAACTTAACAATGTCTCTGAAATCACTTTTGAAAAGTATAATTTGGGAAAGTAGGATAAAATTAGAGACTTTTATTTGTTGGTCACATACTCACATGTCAACACGCAGACACTTAGTTCTTTTGGTGGTACTAAAGGTTTGGGTTTTGGTCGTGTCAGAGTCCCGAAAAGCGACTTCTGACTCGAAAGTCGAAACCCTTGTGAGAGAACTTGGAGATGCCGAAGAAGGTAACTCCGACGAGTACTGGGACCGGTTTATTGAGCTATTCTGCAGAATCTGAGGGTCAAGTCAAGTGGTCTCTCCTCTCTCATTGCCTTATCTTATTAAAGGTCTGGTTCTCTTTTACTTTCTCGATTCTCCTCCATGTGTGTCTACCAAAGTTTTGGTTTTTGTTGTTGTTGGTGTCTGAATCCGAATGTGAAGTAGTCGTACACACCCTAATCGAAATTTCCAAGATCAAACTTAGTTGTTGATCCAGGTATATATTGAAAATTACGTTCAGAGAGGTCGAATCAACGGATTTTTTAGTTGTAGTGAAGCTTTAATTGATCAAAATTAAACACTTGAAGAAGAATGTGGACAAAAAAAAAGAGAAACTGAATAAGAAAAAGTTTAGTATTAATCTTCTTGGAGTGTTTTGTTTCTCTGATGTTTAACGGATGCGTTCACTGTTTTGCATTTGCTACTTAGCTATTAACGGGATCTTATCGATGAATTAGTATACTCATGCTCATGCTCGACACATGTAGAGATGTACTAGTTTTGGTGACTCAACTTATTTTCTTGAATAAGAAGAATATACAGAGAGGCATTGTCATATAGAGAGCCCAAAATGGAAGGAAGTTTGGTTAATCCTTAGGAGCTAGCCGTGTGTCCCTTAGTATCTTTCTCACCACAAATTAGATAGGAACACTCGTTTGGTTACAAATTTTTGTAATAAATAAATTATTACCAGTTAAGATTCTCTTGTTCTTGGAAAGAAAAATAAGATATGTTATTACTACCAGGGTTGCACAGATAAGATTTTCCAGATTTAAGAGATATTTTACCAGTTTTACTTGTGGACTTTCCAGGTGTGAGTAATGTTATACACGTATCTACATGAAGAGGAGGATATTAATATCCATTTATGAGAAAAGAAAAAAGGCTACAAAATAAGTTGGCAAGTTTAACTAAGTGAAAAAAGCTATGGCGGAAACAACGAGTTGGATCCCTGTATGGTTTCCTGTGATGGTTTTGGGATGTTTTGTTCTGAATTGGTTGGTTAAGATGGTGAATGTGTGGCTCTATGAGTCCAGCCTTGGGGAGAACAGGCAATATCTGCCACCAGGTGATTTGGGTTGGCCTTTCATTGGTAACATGTTGTCGTTTCTCAGATCGTTCAAGACTTCTGACCCTGATTCCTTCACCAGCACTTTAATCAAAAGGTTATCTATCTTTATAGCTACAAACCTTTAGTAACTCATTCTCTCTATCTCCAAGTTTTCTTGTGGTCGAACCATGTTATGCATTGGCTTTGATTTCAACACTTTTATTTTTATCAATCTCGTCTTCTAGTCCCTAGGTCGAAAGAATCTTGTAGTGGATCCATGTTATACCTTGTTTTGATTTTGGGACATAATTTTGTTGTCAATGATGTGAAGGTATGGACCTAAAGGTATCTATAAAGCACACATGTTTGGGAACCCAAGTATAATAGTAACAACACCAGACACTTGCCGGCGTGTGCTGACAGATGATGATGCATTCAAGCCAGGTTGGCCAACATCTACAATGGAACTCATTGGAAGGAAGTCATTCATTGGTATCTCATTCGAGGAACACAAGCGGCTCAGGCGCTTGACTGCTGCTCCAGTCAATGGCCATGAAGCCCTCTCTACTTACATACCGTACATTGAAGAAAACGTTATTACCGTTCTTGACAAGTGGACTAAAATGGGAGAGTTCGAGTTCTTGACTCATCTGCGTAAGCTTACCTTTAGGATCATCATGTACATCTTTCTCAGCTCTGAGAGTGAGAATGTAATGGATGCATTGGAGCGAGAATATACCGCTCTTAACTATGGAGTTCGAGCAATGGCAGTCAATATTCCTGGATTTGCTTATCATAGAGCACTCAAGGTCTAAATAAAACCACCCTTTTATACTTTGCTAAATTTTCTTTCGTTTGGAAGATTTTGAAGATCGTTATTATTTATTTTACAGGCGAGGAAAACACTTGTAGCTGCCTTTCAGTCCATAGTGACTGAGCGCAGAAATCAAAGGGAGCAGAACATTTTACCAAATAAGAAAGATATGTTAGACAATCTTCTTAATGTTAAAGATGAAGATGGAAGAACTTTGGATGACGAAGAAATTATCGATGTTCTTCTGATGTATCTTAATGCCGGTCATGAATCCTCTGGCCACACCATTATGTGGGCTACCATTTTTCTACAAGAACACCCTGAGTTTCTTCAAAGGGCAAAGGTAAATGGAGAGAAAATTAACTTATTCTTATTTCCGGACTGACTCATACGGTAATTTGTGTTTTGCATATGATGGTACTATAGACAGAACAAGAAATGATCCTGAAAAATAGGCCTGAAGGTCAAAAAGGTCTAACTCTAAAAGAAACCCGGCAAATGGAGTTCTTATCGCAGGTTAGATTTTGGTCGCCTATGAGTTTAGCGCAACAGAGACTTTGTTGGCGAATTGTTTAAGGTGATTTGAAAGAGGTGTTTCTTAACTAGGTTGTAGATGAGACACTTAGAGTCATAACATTCTCACTCACTGCGTTTCGGGAGGCAAAGACTGACGTCGAAATGAATGGTTAGTATAAATGTAAATACATGACTTATATGAAATACAAAACACCTTTCTAAACGCAACTAAGTATTTAGCCTGATTCGATTAAACTTGCAGGCTATTTGATCCCAAAAGGTTGGAAGGTTTTGACATGGTTTAGGGATGTCCACATTGACCCTGAAGTCTATCCGGATCCAAGAAAATTTGATCCTTCTAGATGGGATGTAAGTTAAGTGTTATATCATTTTACATTGTTCGAACCATAGAAATTTGAATTCATTTTGAATGTTTGGAGAAAATTTGCAGAATGGTTTCGTACCAAAAGCTGGTGCGTTCCTTCCTTTTGGTGCTGGAAGCCATTTATGCCCAGGAAATGATCTCGCGAAGCTCGAGATTTCAATTTTTCTTCATCATTTCCTCCTGAAATATCAGTAAGACTTACAAAGTTTGAATCTTTAAATCAATATCTTTCAGTCTTATGTTAATATATTCATGGAGATTGATATTCGCAGGGTGAAACGGAGCAACCCCAAGTGTCCAGTGATGTATTTGCCTCACACCAGACCAACTGATAATTGCTTGGCAAGAATTAGTTATCAGTAAAACATTAGATTTTCATCTTATCCGTTAAGTTCTAATGAGATGCCGTTAAGTTTGGTTTATCAGTTATAGAGTTCGTTAACTCTTTAGTAAAACAATCGTTGTCAAAAATAAAAGTTAAAACGGTATTGTGACTATATATATATATATACATTTTTTTTTTTCTCTCGAAACTTCATCAGACTACTTACTCTGTTCCATGAAACAGAGCTTTGTTGTGTTCATTTGCTATATATCTTAATAGTTTGCACAAGAAAAAAAAAAACTTCATAGGTCCTGATACATTTTCTTTAAGGTGCTTTGAGATAAGCTTAAATATGTAAATAAAAAAAAGTTAAAGGAGAGAATAAGCCCACACAGGCACACACCACACCCTGACAGTACTGTCCACTATCTGCTTTGATACAAAGACACACAGACAAAAAAAAACAGCTCGGAGTCCTTTTGTGTATGGACCGTTGTTTGATGATAATAATAATAATACTATTAAGAGACTTTGGTTTTTTTTTTTGGTTCTCTTCCTTAAAGAAAACAGTATAGACAGAAGAAACTTTACAGATCAGAGGATCCAATGTCGAGATTCTCGCAACTAAGCCCTGAAATTGATCAATCTCTGCTCTTTGTTTCCTTCATTTGATTCCCTTTTCTGGGTCGTTGTTTCCTTATCCTGAATCCTCCTTATATTGAATCCTCTGTTCTGTGTCAAAAACCTAAAAAAGGTTGAAACTTTCCTAAAAAAATGGCGACTAGAGGAAGCAGATCGGAGAAAGTTAAGAGGATTTTCCAGCAATTCGACGGGAATCATGATGGTGGGCTTAACCGAGAAGAGATGGCGGCTCTTGTCGTAGCTGTTAACCCTAGGGTTAAATTCAGTGACGAACAGATCAACGCGATTCTCGATGAAGTTTTTCGAACTTACGCTGAATTCATCGATCCAAACAAAGGTTTGACCTACGACGGTCTTCTACGTACTTACGACGACGGTGCCGGAGATGTTGACAGAGATTTCGACGCATTAGGGCTTGAGTTAAACGCTGATGAGTCGATTAAAGACTCTGACGTGGCTTCGTCTTCTTCGATTACTGATGAGAGAGCTGTTGAGGCACAGAAGAAACAGAGAACTGCTGCTTGGGCTGTTTCGCCGAATCATGGTATCGTTTTTGACGAGACGTGGAAGTTAGTTGATGATTTGGAGATTCTGGTGAAGAGATTGAAGTCGAAACAGGAGAAAGATGGGAAATTGAAAGCTGATAATAACAATAACAATAACAATGTTGATGCGTTTTCTGATGCTGGATGGTCTAGAGAGTTAGGTCCGTCTTCTGAGATCTCTGAGAAGAGAATCTATTGGGAAGAATCGAGTCATGATTATGGAGTGTTTGTGAAGGAATTAGGTGTTTTGAGAAGTAAAGCTGATGGAGCTAGATCTAGGGAGGAAGCTTTTGATGGACATATGGCGATTGGTAGGGTTTTGTATGAGCATCAGTTGTTTAAAGAAGCTCTTGTTAGCTTCAAGAGAGCTTGTGAATTGCAACCGACTGATGTGAGACCTCATTTCAAAGCTGGGAATTGTCTTTACGTTTTGGGGAAATGCAAAGAGTCGAAAGATGAGTTTTTGTTGGCATTGGAAGCGGCTGAGTCGGGCGGGAATCAGTGGGCTTATTTGCTTCCTCAGATTTATGTCAATCTCGGTATCGCGCTTGAAGGCGAAGGTATGGTTTTGAGTGCTTGTGAGTATTATAGAGAAGCTGCGATTCTATGTCCTACGCATTTTAGAGCCTTGAAGCTGCTAGGTAGTGCGTTGTTCGGTGTAGGAGAGTATAGAGCAGCGGTTAAGGCCTTAGAGGAAGCTATATACTTGAAACCGGATTACGCAGATGCTCATTGTGATTTAGCTTCGTCTTTGCATTCAATGGGTGAAGATGAGAGAGCTATCGAGGTTTTCCAGAGAGCGATTGACTTGAAACCTGGCCATGTTGATGCTTTGTATAATCTCGGCGGGCTTTACATGGATTTAGGTAGGTTTCAGAGAGCTTCGGAAATGTACACTAGGGTCTTAGCAGTATGGCCAAACCATTGGCGTGCTCAGCTCAACAAGGCGGTTTCTTTGTTAGGTGCTGGAGAGACCGAAGAAGCGAAACGAGCACTTAAGGAAGCGCTGAAACTGACAAACCGGGTTGAATTGCATGATGCGATATCTCATTTGAAACATGTGCAGAAGAAAAAGGGTAAAAAGAATGGGAATGGTAATGGAGGAGAAGGTCCATTCATCGTCGTGGAACCTTCCAAGTTCAAGACTGTGGGTGAGAAGACGACTCTGAGACCGGATTTAGCCACGGCTCTTCAAATTAGAGCCTTTCAGAGAGTTACAAGGCTTGGGAAATGCGATGTGGAGGCTGTGCGAAAGGAGATGAGAGACAACGATGTTCCTGTTTCGTATTCCGGAAGCGGTGGGCCAACAAAATCTATTAGGAAACCTAATTTAGAGGAGATTCTACGACGTCTGCTCAGTTCCTTGAAACCTGACACTTTTCAAGGAGCGATTAAGGCTATAAACGAGAAAATTCTCTCTCTTCTTGATGACTCGGGGTCGGGAAGAGTTGATATGGGTATGTTTTATGCAGTGATTGCTCCTTTATGCGGTGGACATTCAGACAAACGGAAAAGAGTTGCTTTCGATGCGCTTCTTTGGAGACCCGTAAACGAAGGAAGCTCTCAGATTACAAAAACAGATGCAGTCAAATACATTAAACTGTTGAGAGCTATTTACATTCCATCACATGGAATGAGTGAAATGTTAGAAGTTCACGGGGAAGAAGAAGCTGATTCCTCAATGACAGTGACATTTAATCAGTTTTTAACCATGTTCGACGATCCAGATTGGGGATTTGGTATCATGACTACGATCCTTAAACTGGAGGCAAACGATAGAAACCGTCATGGAAACCAAGTTTGCTCGGTTTGTCGGTATCCGATAATCGGATCCCGGTTTAAGGAAGTGAAAGCCCGGTTTAGTTTGTGTAACCAGTGTTACAGTGAAGGGAAGGTTCCTCCTTCGTTTAAACAGGAGGAATACAAGTTCCGAGAATATGAGAGTGAAGCTGAAGCCATGAAAGCTAAGTGTGTCTGTTTCTCGATGCAGTCTCATAAAAAACCGATTGCCACTTGATAGAAGAAACAAAGAAACTAACTCATCAAGTGTTTACTCGAGTCTTTGTGTCTAATTTGAAAATTGTAACACTTTCTTTTTTAACTTGTGTGCATAGTTTCAGGTAAGTGTATGATGTTGAGGCTGCACAATGTTGTTTTGGTAAATCACGCAATTGCGTTATAGACCAATTTCGGTTTGCAAATTTAGAATTGGATTTTCTATTTCAGACTCTCTTTTTTTTAACTCTTAAACTTCTCTGGTTTAGGTTTCTCAAAATACCTTTTTTCCTGTTTCTTCTATACCCAATAGCTTACAAGTTACAACATTTCTTTGATGAAATCAAGATTAAGTGTGTCCTTGACGATGAGAAATAAACCGAGAAATAACACAAGCATGATTCCAGACGACATAATCCCTTGTTCCACCTCTAACGGTAATTTCCTCCCGTCTCGAACCGCTTCCAATAAGATCAGAGCCAAAGTTCCACCATCAAGAGCTGGTAAAGGCAACAGATTGATCACTGCAAGGTTTAGATTCAGCAATGCTGCAAACTGGTAAAGCCCGTCCGCGTTTGATCTCGCCACTTCAGCTCCAACCGCAATGATCGCCACTGGACCAGCGACTTTACTAGCGGTTTGAGAGAAGTTCAAGAAAGTCTGTTTCAAACTGTCCAAAACATTGTAAGAGAGCCCAAAGAACTCTCTACCGGCGAAACTAAGAGTTTCCGGTATGTTCTTCGGTCTCACCTTAGAGAATCTAACATTCGGTGATAACTGAACACCGACTTTCCCCGTTCCATCGAAACTCTTGTCTGGCGTGATCCGGATTTCGAAATTCTCCTTCCCTCTTTCGATCCTGAGCAACACATTGTGCTCCGGATTCCTCTTCACGACATCAACGACTTTAGAAACCGAATCAGAACCGGAATTAGATAGCTCAGTACCATCAACGGCTAAGATAACATCTCCCGGAAGCAATCCATCACGAGAAGCAGCAGAGAAAGACTTAACGTCTGGAACAAGAACTCCAGGAAAAGATTCTTGAACTGGTAATCCAACAGATACCACTTGAGTAAAGATTATAGCGTAAGCGAAGATAACGTTAGCGACAATTCCAGCTGAAACAACAATCACTCTATCCAAAATCGGTCGATTCTTGAGAAGATTTTTGTCGTCTAGAGGGATTCCACTGTCGGGATCATTATCAGGGAATCCAACAAATCCACCTAAAGGAAAAGCCCTAAGAGAGTATTCGACATTGTTGGAATTGAATTTAGCTAGAATCGGACCAAACCCTATCGCAAATTTACTCACATGGATACCTTGAAGAGAAGCAGCTAAAAAGTGACCGGTCTCGTGTACGACGATAATCGCAGCGAGAACAGCGGAAGCTTCGAGTACTGATTCGAAACTTCCGAAATCGAATCCAGCGAGAGCTCGTGTTCTGTAATATGGGTATCTCTTGTTTCTGAGTAAAGCTCTGTTCTTGGTGCCGTAGAAGCTATGATTCGATAGAGTGGAGAGATTGGTGGAAAGATGAGATTTTGGAGGAAAATTTGAAGTGGGATTGTTGAAAGTAGAGAGGAAGTGAGGAATTCGATGAGAAATTGGAGAAGAAGAAATGCTTAATAGCATGATTTCGTGAGGTTTTGAGAGTTTAGAGTGCGGAGAAGAGAAACTATAGAAGCCATTGAAAAACAGAGCAGATAACGAAAAAACATTAACGATCTGTGGATAGGATTGACCACAACGTATCAACACAACAACAGTCTCGTTCCAATTTTTTTTTGTTCTTTGGTATTTGAAAATTTTTAATTGGACAAATTCACAGTTCTTCTTACATGTCAACCAAACTGTATTGAAACTTATGCAAGCCTTTGTGGGCTCCTATGATATCACTTAGGCCCAATTTGAACCTCCGGGCCCAGTAAGAATGTGTACTTTTCAGAGAAGCTCACAGATTCGATTCGAACTACCCAAACCCATTTGACAAATATATGTTGATAGGATCGTTTTCACTTTTCACTATCCACTTAGTTGACAAAAACAACAAAATCGTTCACAGATTCATCTTTTAGCCAAGTGGAAATGCCGTGGTACAAGTGATCCATCCACTAGTAATTGACAACGTCCGAACGTTTGTTTGTACTCTTGTGTAGACATACTCAAAGAACAAATATATAAAGTCAATGCTTGCTAGGTCTATCTTATCCAAGAAAATAGTATTATACATTAACCAAAAAAAAAGCATGTGTTAACATGCATGAACTTTAAACCTAACTATTTTTTGTTTCGTACACAACTCACGCACATACTTACAAATTTGAACAGAAGTAAATGATAATGCTTGCTTGATACAAATATATATATGAACCATTCTGTTAGGATGTAAGTTTCAGTCAAGTCGATTTATCATGTATTGTTATATGATATCATATGGTCAAAGATATAAGGATTTAATTTCTTGAATATAGTATTTCTAGCATTGAAATTACGAGATCTATTAAAATGCAGAGAAAAGAAAACGAAGGGTTGAATTCTTTTACAAGAGAGTGGAGAATCTAATTAGCGACCATGTTTTAGTGTTTACGTGAGACAAATTAAATGATCAAATCGAAATATGCCCGGACACATTTTCTCTACTTCTCAAAAGGTTTTTGAAGTCAAGTGAGAGTTTACCAAAAATTGAAAGCGTAACATTCTAGTGGATCATACTCATACGCCCATTATTCTTTCTTTTGCCGACATACGACAATTCTTCTATTATTAATAGTTTAATACTATTTTCCTTAAAACTAGCTAGCAACAATATTGTATAAAGAAGAAAACAAAAGATATATAATACAACACCTAAGTAATGTGTGATGAACAAAACCTGCAACGTGGCCATTATATTTTCTTAATCTTTTAGAATAACATGATTGTATTTAGGCTGATAATTAACGAAAATGGTTTGTCTTTTAATTTGGTTAGGTTGTCATTAATTTCCAATGATTTCTTGTTATATGAGTTTATTATTTTCATTTTATTATGAATTATTCAGATTTGTCACCAGCCACACTAATAATGAAGCGTGAAATGCCAAATGTAACATCCCCATTTTATATAACATGTACCCTAATACTGATCTAACCCAAGAAATGTTAGCATGTTGAATGAATGGACTAGTTAAGTTTAACGATTTGGATTTATGCATGTGTGATTTTTGGTACATTAATTTCAAGAGGCAATTGTCTTTCAAATCCAGTAAAAGTTGATCATTAAAATTTCAAAAACAAATAAGTTACCACTTAGTTAACTACTTAAAGGGAGATCTAATTTGAAACCCACACTTGGTTGCTTTTTCTAATCCTCAAACGAAAAGAGGACCAGGTTCAGTGAATCTGTAAATTTCAATCCCTATGTTTGTTTGTTTTTTAATGGATTGTCACAATGCTTTATCAAACGTAAGCATGCTTAAAAGCAATATTATATTATATAAAGACTCCTACTATTTTATAAGATGAAAATAACCAAATAACTAGTCATCTTTAGCTTTCTATCTACTTTCTTATAATTGAACACAAAGTTGGTGAAGCATATGTTTATAGTTAAGAGTCGTATCACACCATATATATACATAAGGTTTGGGCAGAGACTTAAAGATCGGGATAGAGAGAGCAATGATCCTTATGCCTTCTCAGGCGACTAATCATCACTTCATCCTCCATCGTATGTCTCTCTTATCTTTATCATACTCGAAAATATGTTCTAAAACGCAAATATACAATCATATTATTCGTACATATGTATACATGAGCATGTACTTTTCTTGTAATGATAGATTTTTATTGACTACACATCGTCAGGAATCATGATCAAAGGTCGAAGAAGATGTGAACATATATCAACTGATTATATGTTCGGAGATGATTGATGAGAATCATAGAAAATAATCAACAATATATGGATTAATCATATAGAAGAATTGGTTCGAGTTTGATCGAATCGATATTTCTGTTCTTTGGTTTGCTTCAAATAAAAAGATGGAAGACGCTCATGGTTTGAGGCAAGTCAAAGATCACCAGTTCCCCCTTTCACAATTTCAATCTCTTTGTTAATTAAAGACTATTATTACGTATATACTCTATGTTTTAGTTTTAAACAAGACGCAGGTTTTTTCTTATGTCGATTACATGAACTCATGTTTTTTTTTTTTATGAACTCATGTTCAATTCTATAAATGTTAATTTGTTATAATGGCCATTACTTGGCATAAAATCTCTAGCTAGTATTCACTGGTACTCGATTAAAATTCCATATGTATCAAACTAAATATTGTTCCATTGAAGCGGATTAGATCACCTGATATATGGCATGCATCCATGTTCTATTTTCTGTATGTAACTTGGATATGTTCAATCCGGATTTTCTAAATATGTTCATACATCTATCTTTTATATTTGTTCATATGTATCTCTATAAAATTTTAGTATTTAGAAGCTGTTGCACAAAAAAAAAGAAAAGAATAAAAAGGGTTCTCGTAATACAAATAGAAAATGTATTATACTGAGCAGAGAAATAGCAGCAAATCTCATTTTATGTTTTTATCTTCTAAGTTGCCGGTGGGTTTTAGCCCATGGTGACCCAGACAGACGATACCAAAAGCCCATCTGAAACTTACGCGAGCATTCGATATTGATTGGTACAATGATTTGTCTCTGACTAAATTTACAAAATTTATCATAGAGTTTTTTATACCACATTGAACCTCAATCTCTAGAAAACCTAACACGGGCTAAGCAAACTTGGATTTGTATTTGATGATTTTCGTCTCCGGATAACCGGTTGATCTAAACCATCACGTCCAATATTTTTCTAATAGTATTTTTTTACACAATTAGATGTAATTAACTGGAAGTGGATATTGATTGGTGGTTTTAGTTGGGGAGATAGTAGACATTAAATACGTATAGTAAGGTTTAGACAATGTACTTACAATTGCATGTGAGCCAAATTTATTTTCTCTCTACATTTTCACAGTTGACTATTGTCGGTACCGTTGACTCTCAATAGTTGTTCTAATTAAATTTAATATATCCATGTCCATATAGCCTTCATAGGTGTAATATTTATTTTACCCATGGACCATGGGAAATGTGAGTGACAAACTGAAAGCAAATTAAAGCACCATTTAAAAATAAAATAAAAACACACTGGAAAATTTTCCGATAAACTGGTTCCAATTTCTACTACGAATTCTTCCTTTTTAATGGGAAAGCATGCATTAGTAATTTTCGAATATTAGGGTCAACGACTCAACGTCAAAGTGTCTAGTAGTGACGACTAGAACAAATAAATATTGGTAAAACGTCGGTTTAATCATTAATGGTGATAATTTCATACATACATATGAATGTGATGATTTAAAATGTCAACGAGTT